GGGAGAAAAGGGAAGAAGGACAAGAACTGGCCACTGGTTGGGGACTTAGCTACACCACAACTTCTAATTTCCTCAGAAAAGTAGAAAGCGAGATCGTTTGACAGTGAGAGAAAGGGGAGCTCAGCTTGAGCCAAAGTCTGAAATAGCTTTAATGGCAACAGTGGAAAATAATTCACTAGAAGAAGGGTGTATAAGGGGGCTGACATATTTTATTGAATATTAAAGGTCTTCTCAACATGTAATTACAATTAAAACAAACAACCAAAAAGACTTTGTAAAATAGGAACAGAAGAGAACATGTTCAATGTATAAAGGGCATCCATAAAAATGTTAAGATTAATATTGTGTTATATGGATACAAATAAGTATTTCCCTATATTTGAAAGCACTACAAGAAAATCTACTCTCACCATTTCTATCCAGCTGTCCCAGAGATTTTAGCAGTACAATAAAGTGAGGAAAACAAGTCAGTATATACACAAATTGAAAAAGAATTAAAAATATTTTTATTCATAGATAATGACTGAGTAGGTATAAGAGCCTAAGGGTTCTACACAGGCCACTAGATTTAATAATATGATCTCTGCAAGTTTGCAGGCCACAAAATCACTAAAAATATGGGCAATAAGACAATACATAAAAAACTTTTTATATGCCTCTTGCAATAGATTCCTAAATTTGTACAATGTTAAATGTTTAGGAATAACTTTATGAACATATGTATAAAACATGTATGCAGAAAATATAAAATGCTACTGTGATAAACTATAGAAAACCAATTGATGTGGAGATATCATAGATCAAGATGTCAAATGCACCCAAATTGATCTATAAATTCATAGTAATTCCAATCAAAACCCTAATAGAATTTTTTTAATAGACAGTGATACAGTAATTCTAAAACCTGCATGAAAATGCTAAAAACAATTTGAACCATTTATATCATCACCTGATAAAGACTTTCTATAATGCTTCAGTAGACAAGGCAATGTGAAGTCTTGTGAAAAATTTCACAAGAAACTTGAAATACATAGAAAAACCAAAATGACACCAGCAAATACCCCCAAACAACTACAAAATCTCTCTCTCTCTCTCTCTCTCTCTCTCTCTCTCTCTTTCTCTCTCTCACACACACACACACACACACACACACACACACACACACACACACACAAAATCTGGGTTTGAATGCACAAAGTTAACCCAGAGGACAAGTCAGATACTCTAATATCTGAACACAGAGAAAGGAAACTAGAGGAAAATAAATAAAGCTTCAGACTAGAATAACATCAGTTATTTCTAAATATGTATAATCAGAGTTTTAGGAGAGGAAAGAATTCAAGGGACAGAAAAAGTGTTTGATGAGATAATGGCTGATAACTCCCCAAATATGATTTATAGATGTGAGTTCAATAAATCTCAAGTACAATAAAGTGCTCAACATCCTCACACATAATAAACTGCTGAAAGTCAGAAGAAGCAAGCAAGTGAATGCGAGTGATAAATTAATTTAGAATAATTCATAACAGTCTAAGAAAAACAATTCTTGTACAGGAAAACAATGACACCATTAAGTGCAACATAATATGTAACAAAACTTTTTATATGCCTTTTGCAATAGTGTTTTAGCAACAGTGAAGTCTGAAAGGCAATTGAATAATGTATTCAAAGCAATAAGATACAGAACTGTCAAGCAGGAATTTTATACCCAGTAAAACTATCTTTCAAAACTGAAAGCAAAATAAACTCTCATAAGTACATAATGAGAGAATTCATTATAAGTCAATGTATAAGAAATACTTCAGACTAAAGATGTTAGCTTTGATTTCTTTTCTGTACTTCCTTCAGGTTCAATCTATCAGTAAGGCCTGCTAGCTTTATACTCAAAATATGCCTGGAATCCACCTACTTTTTAAAAAACAATATTACATCTTTCAATGCCTTCACCTAATCAAGTGCCTTGAATTCTCCATTAGGTTTCTGTGTATGCTTACAGCTCACTTTCCAAAACTGTTTTTTAAAAAACTAGATCATTCTACCATTCTCTCACTTAAAACATTCTAATTGGTTTTCCATGCACTTAGGATGAAATTCATGCTACTTATCATGGATAATATGTTGTACATATACTATTCTGCATTTAACTTTTGCTATCATTCTTTCCTTAACCATCTCTAAATTTTAGCACACTGCAATTCTTATTGTCCTCAAACATCTCAAATTCATTCTTCCTGAATAATATTTGTATTATTCTTTCTGCCTACTACAGGACAAACTGGTAGGTGATCTGGCTTCTTGTGAGACTGGTTTCTCATTCAGGTCTCTCTACTTAAATGTTTTTCCTTTGTGGTGGATGACAACAGGTGGTCCAACTTGTAACACCAACTAAACTGAATCAGCATGGTTCTGAGTGTGGATGGCCCACCTGGGGGTTGCTGCCAACAACATACAAAGGACAACTGGAGAGGAAGTGGTGGTGTTGCTTCTTGTGGTTGTTTTTGGTTCTCTTGATGTCACTGGTTCTCTTGGGGGAGCTTGTCGAGCTTCTTTCTTGATGTGAATTTGGCTTTTCTCATCAACAGAGGAGTTGGGGACCTCACTGTGGCAGAGAATGGCTGTGGTTCACTTTGGGGGAGCTCTGGCCCTTTCTTTGAGCATTGCTTCCTGGCTCTGGAGAGGAAGATGGTATGCTGTTCACTCTCCAAGAGAATCTTGTCATGCTGGTTTCCTGATACGAACTCAGATGTACTCAGTGTTGGAAGAACTCAGGACCTTATTGTCACTGAGCATGGCTGTGGTACTTTTCAAGAGAGCCCTGAAGATCCTTACTTTGAGTGTTGCTTCCTGGCTCCAGTGCAGATCTCTCAGCCTGCTGGCACAGATCCTCCATCTTGCCAACACAGATTTTCTAGCTTCCACTGCTGACCTTTGGGCCTCTGCAGTGCAAATTTGTGAAAGACTTGTAGGAGACACTGTCATGGGCACTAGGCCTTCAGTTGACTCATGCAGGGCATTGTCAAGGGTTTTATGTCTTCAGCTGGACTCATGAAGCACACTGCCAAGGGATCTAGGCCCTCAGCTGGATTCTTTGGGTCTTCAGTGTGTGGACAGATTTCCTGCAGTTTTTTATATTTGACTCTCTGGGTTACTATAAAATAATCCTATAAATTATGTGTCCTGCAGTAAATTGTTTTTCTTGTAAATCCTGACTAGAAGTCGGGCATGGTGGCTCACGCCTGTAATCCCAGCACTTGGGAGGCTGAGGTGGGAGGATTGTTGTAAGTTTGAGACCAGCCTGGGCTACAAAGTGAGCGCAAGGCCAGCCTGAACTGCATAGATGCCGTCTCAAAAAAGACAACAACAACAACAACAACAACAACAACAACAAAATCCTGACTAGAACAACACTCTTCAATGACGCTTTCCCTGCTCACTGACTTTGAGTTTACTCTAGCCATCATCACTGCCACCCTCTGCCTTTTTCAAGTTCTGTTATGACACATAATTACCTGAAGTTCTAGCACGCACTTATTTTTTCACTTGTTTAATCTGCACCTGTCCAATAAAATATAAGGATCATGAGGACAAGTGTTTTATTTTATCACTGAGGTGTCCAGGTCCTAAGATAGTATTAAAAATTATAGACAAAAATTACATATAAAATATAAGTAGTTTAAAACTATTCCAAGGGTTTTTTATTTTAAAAGGGTAAAACTAAACACAACAAAACAGAACAAAGCAGATCAGAAGAAAACAATGTAAGTGACACATATTTCAAAGCAAGACAACAGATCTATAATGGCTACCATAACATCTCGTTTTCTTCTAAATAGTTGTCTATATCTTCACACACAACGAATTCATACAAAACAAAATAGTATAATTCTCAATGATGAGAAAAAAATGAGTAATTCTCCAAAGTTTGTATCTCTTGTGTATGTAATGGCACATCTGAGATATTTGAAATGCAGCAGTACAAGTTACTTTATTTGTAAAAGGTAGGTAACACGGTCACCTCCTTCACAGGATTACTGTGGAGCTGGATTTAAAGACAAAAAAAGAAAGGAAGGGAAGGAAAAGAAAAAAGGTGATAGGAAATGGGAAAAATATCCCTCACAAAGTCCTTTCAGCTATTAGGTTAAAAAGTATAGAAGTTTTGACCAAATTCTTCCATGAACTATTCCTATATATACATTACCTAGCACACTAGACACTAAAAAGACAACAGTCAAATCAGCTTATTTGAAGACTCAAACTTAGGTAAAGGACAGTTTTGAAATCACAAGAAAGAAGATAAATTATACTGACTCTTCTGGTAACCCAACAGTGCAGATCCACTAAATGTTCCAGAGCCTTTGCTGTAGCCTATGGATGGAGATTTTGTAACAAACTCATCATTATTCTAGGTGTTTCAGTTTCTTTCCTTAAACACTTAAGAGCTAGGAAACTAAAATAAATAATCTGAATTTAAACTCTATTGTGGGCTAAAATCTGTAAGTTGCAACCCCAAAATGGAAAGTATAATACAAAGAACAAAAATTACAGGTATGTTAAAAGCCCTTAAAAAACCAATTTAATACAATGTAATACAATACAATATAAATACAACCTAAATTTAAACTATCATTGCAGTTTAATTCCTAAAGGTTAGCAACTGAAACATATAAAATATGCTATCATAATAAAACTAGCGCATCAAATATCTTAAATTTTCTTACAGTGTTATTAGACTAGAAAAATACCAATTTTTTTTACACAATCAGTAAAGGCTAATGAGAAAAAAATGCTGTTATTTCATATTGTGATTTCAACACAATATGATAAGATACAGGAAAAAAATTTCAGTATCTTACAGTTTACCCACAAGATTGTGATTAAATGTCAAATTTATTCACTAAATTGGGAATGTTTAAAACCAGTATTTACTTAAAAACTGGACATTTTATATAGCTGTAACAGGCTTCTTACAAAAGAACTTTCAAGTTACATATTTCACTTACCAAAATGCAGTCCACTTTAGATTGTACAGTTTTGCTAAAAAAAAAAAAAAAAAAAAAAAAGTCAGGTTAGTAAAAATAAAGTTTACTAAATATTTTAAATATTCTCAAATAGACATGGTAATTATTCCTCCATTATAAAAAAAAAGTAAAGCTCTTTATTAAGATTAGGCAGTTTCCTAAAACTGATGTTTCTTATAAAGCAAAACAATCTCTTTTCCATTCGTTGTTCTAAATTTCATTTTTAAGTGAGATTAAAATAGTCTCTGAGTTTGCTGTTATGGTCAACCGACTGTTATACTATAATAGGAATTCTGATCAGATAATGAAGTTTTCAAGAGTACATGAGTGTAGATGAATTACTACAGTGAGAAAAAGGGCATGAAGTTTAAAAAACTATGATTTTACTGTCTTCTACTCTAGACAATGATTTGCTTAAAAAGAGGATAATGGAGGCTGGGGCTTTAGCTCAAGTAGCACAAGTGCCTATGTTGCAGGTACAAAGTGATGAGTTCAATCCCCAGTACCAAAAACACTCCCCCAAACAAAAACTAAAACAAAAACAATAACAAAAAGATGATAATGACATAATCTGTAGCTCTTAAGACTTGGTATAAAATGAATTCATTTCTTCTCTATCCTATCCCATCCCATCCTACCCCAGTAACAGGACTCCCAGACTTAAAAGTAACAATAAAAATGAACTAATATGGTAATAAATTATGATGGCAGACAAATACATTTAGAAATAATACAAATAAAACCAATATTTAATTGAGCTACAGAACATATGTGAATTACTTCTGTAACACATTGAAATAATTGCATTAAATAATATATCATTTGGATTTTGTGACGATACTAATCTGACTAAAGTACAAATACAAGTAAATCATGCAAAGCTTTCAGAAATAATTTATATACAACCTTTAAGAGATGTTATAAACCAAGTTATCTTCCATAAAAGGTCTAGAGCCAAATAAATACAAATGAAAACTGGTTATTTGCCTTGGTATATAGCCACATAGCTGTTATAAAATTAAAGTCAGTGTGTAAAACTCATTTCATTTAATGAAGCCAACATCAAAATTTTATACCCATATCCAGAATTCAAGTTCAATTTTTTTAAACAACAAAGTGTGATGGAGTTAACTGCAAAGCTGGGAATGACTGAAAGGAGCAAGAAAAGCAAAATCTCTAGGTAAGTGTGAATGAAATTCCCTTCCCACAATCCCAGAAAATCTTTAGAGGCTTAAAAATACCCCTTTGGGATCACTGGTATAGCTTATCATTCACTGGCAGCTAACATGTGCTATTTTTCTTTCCTTAGTAATTCCCACAGTATCTCTTGAGATCAGAGTAATCTATAATGAATTGCTGCTAAAAAGCATTATGTCCAGGATCTAACCATCTCTATTAATACTGTGGCCTACAATGTGATAATAACCTTCTGACCTGTTTCTTTGCTTGTGTCTTTACCGGGTCACAACTACCATGCCCTGTGAGCTCTCACAAAGCCTTAGCGTGATTCTTTTGTTCAAGCCATCTTCTTGGTAATTATTTGATCCAAAGTTCATCATGACCAAAGCAGCCTTGGATTATCCAGTCCTCTGCTCTTTTTTTAAGCTCATCTCCTACTAGTCCTTTCTCATTTGTTTAGATCAAGCCAATTTGGCCTCCCCACTGCCAAGTCAGAGCAAAGCCTGACACTGCCTTTTTCTGTCAGTCTTCAAGGCTCTTCGTCCCTATAACTATCTGGCCACTTCCTTCATGACTTTGGTACTTTCTACAGGACACTTCATCCAGGACTTCACTATATAAAACAATTCCACTTAACACTCTCACTCTGCTTTTTTTTAAATACTGCATATTCCACCAATCATTATACTTTTAATAACTGGATTCAAGCTGTCTTCCTTAACTAGAATTTAAACTTCATGCAGTAGGATGTCTGTTTTGTTCACTACTTTGTTTATCATCTGGCACATGACAGATATTCAATAAAACTTAAATAAGTAAATGACAAAAAATATTCAGTCTCCCATATGAAGAAAACTTTTTTGGAAAGATAGGAATTGCTTAAAGAATGAATTTTTAAATAAACTAACACAAAATTTGAAAATGTGATTGATTTATAAACCAATACACCTCACCACACTGCCATTTGCCAGTAACAAGATTCTCAAAGGGGATGTTTAGAACCACTTGTTACAAATGACCTGATAAATCTCAAAATGTGTATGTAAACGACAATCCTATAGGTAACAATCCTAGGTTATTATCTAAATACAGAATGTATCTATAAAGGAAAATGAAAGCAATTCTGAGCCAGACAGGAATCTTTCCAATCACTCATCTAGTCCTTTGATTATTCTACTATATACTTTAACCCAAACAGAACAACAGAATGATAGAGAAGTTCTCTTTTGTTTTTCTGTCCAGTGTTACACTACTTGTTACCTTCCCAAAGGCAACCTTCAGGAAGGTGATATGTAACCTTTGTGGCTGTTTTAGTATCTGTATTAAATATATGAACAACTAGAAGTAGCATATATTCTTGAAGCTTTTAAATGTTCTGAAGCTTTGAAATGTTCATATAAATATTTCACTAAAATTTCTGACAACCATCCACTCTGATACATTTAGATGAAGTTTGTTAACTGTCACATTCATCATTGTTCAATTAATTCATCCATTCATCTACTGAGGGCCAACTATGCAATTTCCAGTTACTCTATAAACAATACTGAAATAAATGTCTTTGTACATGCAAAAATTCCTATCGTAAGTCTGTAAGATGATTTTCTGAGGCTTTTAAGTGTATTCTTTCAACTTTATTATGTAACTAAATACCTTTTCCAAGCACTTATATCCATTTATATTTTTACTTGACTTCATGATAGTTCCTATTATCTTACACACAGAGACCACTAAAATTATATATATATATTAAAAACTTGTCATTTTGTGGATATGAAATAGTATTTTAAAATATATATATATATATCATTCTCCCAATTACTAGTGATACTGTGTACTTTTTCACCTGCTTATTTAAACATGTAAGTTTTTTCCTCCATAAACTGTTGGTTCATGTCTTTTGCCCATTTTTGGAGTTGACTATTACACGATTACAATTCTTTATATATCCTAGATATTAACTCATTACCTATATTAAAATTTGCTAATGGTATTATTTATCGAAGTATAAATTTTTATGTAGTCAAATTTATTTTTCTTTTATGCTATTTTTATCTTTAAGAAATCTTGCCTAGCTAAGTTTATAATGGTATTTTCTATTTTATTCTAAAAGTTAAGTGTTTTCAGTTTTGATCTTTGAGATTTGTTGTTGCATATGGAATGGTATCACACAGATATTTTTTTCCTTCTCTCTAGCAAACCACTATTCTCTATTTTATTATGCCAAGTTTCAAAATATGCTTCAATTTGTTTTTGGCCTTTTTTCTGCTTTATCAGTAATCTACCTAACCATTCCTGAGCAATACTGTATTCTGACTCATTAGGTCTTGTTATTTGATTAGCTCATGGTCCATCTTCAAAAGTAGTACAGTAATTGTTAAACCTTTTCTGTGTGAATTTTTCAACCAATTTTCCTAATTCCACAAAAGTTCTCCCAAGATTTATATTTGACTCCCAAGATGGTATATGTATATACAGATTGAATTGGTGGGCAGACTCACAATGTGGATGTATTTTTGTCTTTAAAATGTATTATAATTTTCTCTATAAACCTTTTCACTTTTATTTGAGTCCTTGACCAGGGTAGCTTACAGATGGTATTATGAATTGCATTTCTTTTCTCCTCTTATGATTGCTAATCATTTCTGCTGACATATGGCAAACTACTGGTTTTCTAAGTTGCTTTTCATTCCCATCAACTTTCCGGTACTCTTATTAGTTCGAATAGCTAACAGATTCTCTTGCAGATGACTATTTCATTTATAATTAAAGATAAAATTTTTCTTCCTTTTCAATCTTTTTTTCCTCCCCTTTCCTTTTTAATTACTTTGGCTACATTCCCCAGTACAATGGTGAAGAGTAGCAGCAGATACTCACACCCTTGTTTTACATCCAGAGTAAAGGGTTTACTTCTAAACTTGTCCAATAAAAAAGGATGCTCGTGACTTTTTGGTAAATGTTCATTGTTATTTTAAGATATCTGTCCTACTTTGACCTTTCAGTCAGAGCTTTTGTTCTTTTGTTCTCTACCAGAACCCCCTTCATAAGCGATTCTGCCTGGGTTTGCTCTTTAACTACAAGTTAGTACTTCATGTTTGTGCCTCATGAGTTACCTACTCAGAGACTTTCTCTGGCTATATCTAAAAATCAAAAACCCACTTTTTGTCATTCTCTATCTCCTTTATGTTAACAATTATCCTTACAGTAATTATTTCCAATGTATGACTCCCTCAACAGAGTGCAACCTTTATATTACAGAGTAATAAGTTGATATGATCTCTTTATTACTGTATTTCTAGCATTCAGAATAGCAGGAGGCAAAGAATTCTGTTTAGACACCTTTTCAGGTTTGTTCATTTGATTCTCTTTTGTATCTTATAGGTTTTAATTGTATGTTATTTGCATTTATACTACGTTAAATGTATATAAAACAGGTATTTCTCATTCTTCTCTATCTTTAAAAAGATTACTCAAGAACTAAAGCTTTGTTTTGTGGAGGTAGGAACTGAGTTCAGAACTGAGTTCAGCATATCAGTAAAGTGCTCTACCATTCAACTACATTCTCTAACCCACAGTTTTTTTTATATTGCTGAACATTTTCCTTCTATTAACTGTATCCAACAATTTTACTATGCAATATTCTGTTGTCTAAGTATATATTAGGCCAAGTTAGTGTTGATTTGTGTATATGTTTCCTTTGGGGAGCAGTGCTGGGGATTGAGCCTAGGAATACTGCCACCGAACACTACATACTTTAGTTCTTTTTGTTTTGTATACTGAGGTAGGGTCTAAGTTTTCCAGTGGGCTCAGATTTGCAATCCTCCCTCTGGTTCCATC